GAAAGTGGAGGAAAATGCCGCCCTGCTTGATAACAGGCAGAGGACAGTGATTTAGAGACACTGGGTGGGAGTAGATTACACATTGATCAAACACCCTCCTCCCCTTTAAATATAGATTTTAGAGAAAATGTGAAGGAAGGTAATTTACTTGCCAACTGTTCCCTTTGGATCAGGAGGCGAATCAATCACTGGTGGAGAGATATTATCACTTACAGTAAAGTGCAACTACAGGCTTTCACTTTGAGCTGGAGCTGCGCCTGCCAATTATTTTGACAGCAGTTCTCCCTGATGCTGAGAATTAATCAGCACCTTTCATGAGAGGAGTTAACTTAAGAACCCGGTAAATAGTATACATTGATAGTTATGGGGTAAAAGTTTTAAATGGAAGTGATTACAAACCAGTCACAGGAAATAAGGAGTGGTTTTTGTATTTAAAGCTCCTGTGAGGTTTTTCTTTAACTTTATAGAACTGACTAAAAGTCATCTTGATAGCTTTTCATGACATCCAAAAACAAACAAGACCGAAGAATTTTACATCCTAATTTTATGCTGTGTTTGAGTTACCTCAGAAGTCAGAAGCCCGAGTTATGGAAACAAGATGCCTACTAAAATTATTTTAATGCTTGCCTTGTTCGAACATAAGGCAAGTGCTAAAATAACTTTCGTAGATGTGGCCATCTTGTTTCAGGCCTACGAGTAATCTGGGTGTGACGTCATTTTCAGATCAGAGACTTCCGAGGTAACTCGAACACAGCATTAGTGGCTGAAAGTGACAGTTTTTAAAAGTCCAACTTGAAATGTTCACAATGAATGACACATTTGACTGTCAAAAGTCAGCAGGATAAGACTTTTCGTCAAAAGTCGCTACTCAAGCAAGCTACTCTACACATTTTGACCAACAGTCTGCTTTTTTACATTAAAAAATGTTGACAAACATTTCAAACTATTTATTTTTTTTTGAAAACTTGCCTAGTCGAAAGCTTATTCTCACATTTTTCAGTGATGATATGAGTAGAATTGAATTAAATTTGCTTGACTAGTCCAAACATACATATTGACCTACAATGTGCTTTTTCAAAATGGAAAATGTTGACAAAAAACTTCAAACTATCTACTTTTTCAAAAACCTGCCCAGTCTAAAGCTTTTGATAATAATATAGATATATAAAAAACAACAGTATCTTTACATTTTGACCTACAGTCTTTTTTTACAATGAAAGATGTTGACAAAACATTTCAAACTATCTATTTTTTTAAAACTTGCCCAGTCTAAAGCTTATTTTCATATTTCTCAGTGATTATATGGGTGCAAATTGAATTAAATTTGCTTTAAGAGTCCAAACAAACATATTAAATACTCATATTTGATACCAAGAGGCTTTTGATGATGATAAAGATAATAATAAACAACACTATCTTTAAATTTTGACTCATAGTCTGCTTTTTTACATAAAAAATGTTGACAAAAAACTTCAAACTATCTATTTTTTCAGAAACTTACCTGGTCTAAAGCTTCTGATAATAATATAGATATATAAACAAAAGTATCTTTACATTTTGACCTACAGTCTGCTTTTTCTTTTTACAATAAAAAGTGTTGACAAAACTCTTCATACTATCTACTTTTTTGAAAACTTGCCCAGTGTAAAGCTTATTCTCACATTTTTTAGTGATTATATGAGTGCAAACTGAATTAAAAAAACCTACTAAACCTCTGAAAGTAGAAGTCTGCACACAAATTTGCATAAAATAATGTTTGCTGCATTTTTATCAAAGACATTTCTACAACATTTCATTGAAACACTCCCCCCTCCCTTAAATAGTTAAGCCTGAGCCACACAGAGTCAAATTTGTCGGGTGAAGTTCAATGCCCATCCTCTCCTCTCAGAGGCGCAGTCATCTTGCATTTGTCAGAGAAGGAAGTGCAGCTTGCGGTATCACTGAATTGAAAGTACGCCATAGATATGGCGCCAAAAGAGTTTTCAAGCTGATGATAAGAGCTGATTTTCCCCCCGTGCTGGTGATTTTTCCCTGGAGGTGTTGAAAGGAAGAGACTGCAGGAGTGGACCCGCCTGTGCATTCGTGCAGAGGAGCGGTGTGTGCGGACTGAACACGCCGGCTGAGAGAGTGGAAGCTCGGCGAGCTTGAAGTGAAGCCGAGGAGAGGAGCTGGATGTTTGATTTTTTTGAAGGAGGGACGTTGCGAAACTGGCTCTCAATCTTTTCTGACTCATCGTTTGGATATAAAGCATCCTTTTTTCCTCTTTATTTTCATACCAATCCTTCCTCCTCCTACTGCTTCTCCGTTCCCCCTCCTTCCCCGTTCCGCTCGCACTAGGAGAGGATTTTTGACACCACGTTTGGGGCTGCTTTTTTTTTTTTTTTTTTTTTTTTTGCAAAATGCGACATGCTTTCCTGTGAGCGGTGTGTTGTTGTGCGCACCTCGCAGTCTGTTCCAGCGTGAAACAGCAGCGGGACCAGCAGCGGAGGCAGCACTGTGTTTGTTGTTGTTGTTGTTGTTGCTGCAGAAGACGACTTAAAACGGCTGCAACTTGGTCTGGCTGCCACTTTTTTTTGTCGGATTTTAATCGGGATTTTTGAACTCCGCGTTTTTTTTTGTTTTTTTTGCAGGATTGACGCGCTGTCAAGACGCACCGCGAAGGGGAAGGAAAGGAAAGGAAAGGGAGGGGAAGGGACGGTCCTGTCACCCCCCAACGTGGACCCGGAGCTTGTTTAGCTGCACTGCTAAGGCAGGCACCGAGTGGGCACAGTGAACTAGTGCTAAACCCTGCACTGTAAAAACTACATGTGCCTGGCTCCCAATGATCTCCTAATCTCTCGGAATCGCGCGCCGTCCAGGATTGAGGACGTATCTGCACCCGAAGCTGACTGCAGTCAAGGTAAAAACACACATTTATCTCCAAATGTACGATTGCCGAGTAAAAGTGTGAGTGTTGCAGGACTAGTCAAGTCCACTTTGCCCGCTTCTGCTGCCGCTGCAAGTGCGACCGGAGCTAGGCTAACAGCGGCGGCTCTGTACGCACTTTTGCAGCGGGCTTGTCAGTCACAGTCAGCGGCTTCCTGAGCGGTGCATGTGGGTCAAGGAAGCGAGGATAAGAAGGGGGGGTGTCTGTGGCGTGTGTCTGTGTGTTTAACGTGTCGCAGTGAGGGAGTGTGCACGCATGCATGCACGCAGACGGATGAAATTCACAGGGTAAACTTGGGCATGTTGTGTGGCTGCAAAAACGTAACGTGAACGCGCCTCCGGTGGGAATGGAGCTGGTACTTGGAGAGAGTCCAAGTAAGGGTAAAGGGGGGGTTATTTTTGTGCGTAATTGCAATAAATAGGGTCATTTTGCAGCCAAATGGATTTGCACCCTCAACATCACACACATGGGTTTGACACATTAGTGATGATGATGATGATGAGGATGAGAGCAGCAGGTCTGTGTGTGTGTGTGCGTCTGTGTGTGTGTGTGTCTCTGGAGGAGCTGCAGGTTTCTTCACTGCTGAGTAAATGAGGGGGAAAGGGAACCAGAGGGGAGCAGCTCACTCTGGTTTTTAGGGAGGCTGAGCACGCAACCACACACATCAACGAATTAGAGCAACTCCTCTCCTCCTCATCCCCCTCCTCCTCCTCCTCCTCCTCCTCTTGGTTTCTGGCTTTGGAAGGAGAAGAAGAAGAGGGGGGGGAGTGGCTGTTATTTACCTCCACAAAGTCAGAGCGCTGTGTTGCATGCTCACCTGGAAACAACAACAACACATAACAGGGAGCCGAGGATGTCACATGTGAGCAGGATTAATGGGGTGGAAGTGGGGCATTTGTCTCTGGTGTGATTTTCAGTGGCGTGCGGTTGCCACCCACTCTTTATAATTGCCCCGAGAAGCACTAAAGAATATTATCTCTGCCCTATTAATGCTGAATGGAGCAGTTTATGCACATTTTTTTATTTATTTTTTCTTGATGGCACATGTGAGGCTGCACTGGCTCCAGCCTTGAATCAATTAAAGCTCGGATTGTCTGGGGACTTGTTAAATGTTCTCAGTTGTGACAGCAGACCCCCACACACCCACACACCCACACCCACCTCCTTCATGCACACACACCGTCAGCATCACTTTGCGCTCACATCAACAACTCTGCACGCCTCTTGTACGCTCTTCAAGGAGCATACGCACAAATGATGCTTTTCAAACTCTCTCACACACACGTGCGCACTTAAATATGCACACACACACTACACATGCTCACATGCACAGCGCCCCCCCTCCTGCTGGAGATGAGTCATGGTAGGGCATCACATCTCTCTCTCTCTCTCTATCCCTCTACCCCCCTCTCTGTTTTCCATATCTTCCCTGATTCACTGCTTTCTTGTTTTCACTTTCTCTCCCTCTCTCTCTCTCTCCCTCCCTCCCTCCCTCCCTCCAGGCTCGCCTTCCCTTGCCTAGAGACAGCGGTTGTTTACAAGGCAAGTGAGCATTCATTCATTCATTTTTCTGGACCACAATGTTCCAGCCAGTCATCTTTGTTTTTAGTGACCCCCTTCCTCATCACACCATCATTTATCCTTTCTCTGCTGCCTTATCTCCCCTTAACTCTTCCCTCCATCTCTCCATCTCTTTCCTTCGTCATCTCTACATCAAGCTTTTCTCTCGTCCCTTGACCCAGGAGCACAGCCAGTAGGAGTATGTGTGCGCGTCTGTGTGTGTCTATGTGTGTAAAGTATGTCATGTGAAACTCAAGTCGAAGACCTTTAAGGTCTCGTGTGTACATACACACACGTGTGTAGAGGCGGGGGTGTAGCCTTACGTGTATTTGTGTCTGCTGCGTTAAGCGCTGAGCTGGGATTGGCTGAAAAAGGGGGTAAGGACCCCCACGTGATGCGTTGTATCGCATTAAAAGCTACGAGTGAGGAGGAGGAGGAGGAGGAGGAGGAGGAGGGGTGTTGTTCATGAATGGAGTGCTGACGTCAAGCTAACTGTACACCGAGTCCCTAACACTCACACACACTCACACACACACATGCACACCAAACAGGTGCCCCCCTTCCCATGTGCACATATATGTTTAATTGACACACATTGTGAAGGATGGCTGCAGGGCAAAAGTGTGTGTGTGTGAGTGTGTGTGATTCAGAAAAATGTGTCAGATCAAAAGGATGGGATCCAACTGAGCTGCAGGATTTTTGTGTGTTTAAGAGTGTGTGTGCGTGCGTGTGTGTGCATGTTTGTGTGTGTGTGTGTGTAGCTGCCTGCAGGCGGGTTGACTGGCTGTCATATCACCAGCTCTCTCCTGTGCTCTGCTCTGCTTACTAACTAAATAACCAGCATGTCGGCCACAGGAGTATTACTACTGGTTGAGGAGGATTGTGTGTGTGTGTGTACGTGCACTGTGATTTCATGAGTCAGTGATAACTTTGTGTTGGATTTCTTATATCTAATCCATCATGTTACATTTTGTGATTTTTTACAAACTATTTCTTTAAGACATGTTTTCCCAGGATGAGTGCAAAAAGGTAAAATAAGCAAGAAACTCCAAAGTTTTTCATTGATTTAAGACATTTTTAACTCGACACTTTCTGATAACTTGTACACCGATGGAATATAAAGTATGACAAACTTTTCATATTTTCATAACTTTCATTGGACTTTTTTTTCGATTTCTTCGATTCTTTCGATTTCCTCCTTATGTACCAGAATGATTTATATTTTGGATTTGATGGTTTGATAGAAAGTACCCCTAGTAGAAAGTACACATTTGGACAACTACTGAAGTTCCTGGAACCTGAGCTCAACTACCGTACTGGTAGCTAGCAGGACAAAAACAACTCTCTTACCTGAACCTGTAGCTCTTTCAACAACGTGTTTGTTTGCCTGTTAAAAAAATAGTCTTTGGAAGTAAACTTGTAGATTACAAATACAAATATGCAACAATAAAGAACAACAATAAAGAACACCTATAATCCCCTACACCCTAATAAAAACACCTGTTGGAGTATCTAGGTTCATCCAATATTGAATCATAATGACAGATTAGTTTGATTAAATATTGGCTGATAAACATAACTTCAAATGATCTGGATCTAATCCTATTGTTTCTTAACTGTGTTGTCATGTATTGTTGTGTGTCCTTGGTGTTGTTCTGGTTCCTCATGTGGAGGTCTGACAAGTTTGGTAACATGAAACCAGCCATGTGGCGGATTACAGGCTGCAGGCGTGTTTGTATGCATTAGCCCGTGTGCCTTTTGTCTGTGTTTGTTCACAGTAGATGACCCCGCTGTGGCTTAGAGCCTCATTAGTAGGTTTCTTTAGCGTGTTCGTGCCTGTGTGTGTGTATGTGTGTGTGTGTGTGTGTGTGTTTCCCCCGTTAACCTGCTGTTCAGTGGGCAGGAGGTGACGTCAGACTTCAAGGGGAGAGGGAGTGTTTTGGTTCTGACATTTTTTCCCCCCTGTGCCACTGCGACGCTGCCTTGTTAGTAAAGGATAATTGCAGAGTCTGCACACCTGCACACATCACTTGTGAGGCTGGAGGTGGTGCACATGCACATACGTATTTCACAGAACGTTTCTTTTTTTTTTTTAGCTGAAGTTTTTCGAATGTGCCTCGTAAGTCTTTGCCCTGCAGAAAGTGTCCCTCTCTGACTGAATAAGAGTAGTGAATGCTTTAGTGCAGCAGATGGTTTCTCACATAAAATTAATGATCCAGTTTTTGTCACAGTTCACTGCAAAGTCTCTGTTGCTACCGCAGTGATATGATCAGTGCATATCTCACCGAGCTCATGTTTCACTTCCTTTATGTTTATTCCAAATGTGTTTATTTCCCCTCAGTAAAAAAAACAAAAAACCACAACAAACTATTTGCATGATTCGCTCTGCACAGTTTATGGTAGGAAGATTCAGATGTTATTTAGATGTTTAAGATCACAGTAAATGTGTATGTTGTGCCCAAATTAGGGCTGGGCGATAAATTGAAAATTTACCGAATTTATACTGAACCAATGTCATTTTGCCCATAGCAGTATATTCAGTGTCAATATAAATAAATATATAAAGTTGCTCTTGGATGTGTGTAGGTAGACTATAGTCTTATAGTAAAAAAAATTGCTTGATAATATTGGCATCCAAAAAGCAATAAATGCAAGTTGTTGTCTAAAGCACCCCTGTCTATACAGTAAATTTAAGACTGCTGTGGGGGCCTTGTACTCTTTGCAACATTATGTGTTTTTGGGTTGATCCGGAGCATTTTTGTCTTAGTTTTAGGGCTGGGCGATATGGCCTCAAATCAATATCACTATATATATCACAATATCAATATATATTAAGCAGTTCACCGATAATTACTCCACAAGTTGCTCACCCCCTCCCACATTAACTTTGTCTACTTCAGCCGCTCCAACTTTTGAACCGTCCTCCACCTGTCATTCCCTCTTTGTTACGGGCTGGATGGGGTGGAGTTACGTCTCTAACGTAGGACAATGTCTTAAAGAGACATGAGACCATAGCCTACCTACACACATCCAAAACCAACTTTTATTTATTTATTTATTTTGACACCGAATATACTGACATGGGCAAAATTACGTCGGTTATTGTCATAAATTTCGGTATCGGCAAATTTTCAGTTTATCGCCCAGCCCTACTTAGTTAAAAAACATATAATGTAGTACTGGTAGAAGTCCAGTGGCATTTAAAGACTATTAATACATGTTCACTGGTAGAATAGTATCATATATTGATAAAATAATGTGAAGTTTTCTCTCCATCAAACAGTCAAAGTTCATCTTCCTGTTAAACTTCCTTCTCTTATCATCTTCTATCTGACTCTAAAGTTTCCCTCTGTGTCTGTCTGCCTGCTGCCTCCTACTCTAACTGTAAAAAATAGAGTCTGAAGGCTGTAAGAGAAGTGATGGACGGGCTGACAGATGCTGCCTGAGCTCCTGATGGGGAGAGTTTGAGGAGTTGGTGTGTGTGTGTGTGTGAGGAAGGAGAGAGGGCGAGTAAACAAGAAACAGAAACAGTATGTCAGACCTTCTTTTTCTGTTTGAACACCTGGTGATCAAAGATGGAAACAAGTCTCGATGCACAGTGCCATCCTGCAAAGTTTCATTTGCATTTTATTTGTATTTGAACCGTGAAATAAATCAAAATGGATATAAGTTTGTGGAAGAGCAGAGGTTAAGAGGGATCTATGCAGATTTTTAGTTCGCTTGAAACTGGCTGTTGATTAAAGTTTTGGACCACGGGGACAGAGTTGACTTTTTGGTAATTTATAAGTTATATAATGAGAGGGATGACAGGTGGAGCTGATGGAGGGCTGCGTTGAGGAGAAAGCTAAAGAGGGATTGAGGCCAAAGGTGACAAATGAGAAGACAGAGAAGGTGACGCCCGGAGGGATGTGGGAAGAAGTCAGGAGAGGTCGAGGAGGGGAGGTGCAGGTATGGGTAAACAGGGAGGTGCTTTTTTGGGGTGACTGGGGGAGAAAGTCAGAGTGCTCATCCTCCATCAGTCTGTCCTTTTCACCCCTCACTTCTCTGCCTTCCAGGAGCTAATGAACTCCTGATGGCAGAGGAGATGGGGCGATGCATCAATCCTCCATCTCTCTCTCTCTCTGTTTCTTTCTCTCTCCTTCCCCTCTCCTCCCACCTGTCCTCCCCTTTTGCCCCCTCTCCTCCTGGCTTGTTGGCAGAGCCCCAGCCTCGCTGGCTGAGACTCGCCTCCTCCATTGTTTGTCAGCAGATTTCAGGAGACGGAGCGGGGGCTTAGTTAGAAAATTATTTGGACCTCAGCCTCCTCTCCATTTTTTTCCCTTTTTATTCATTACTTCTTTCTCTCTCCTCTGTTTTCCCCTCTCTCCCTCCTGCCCCCATGATGCAGCGGCAGCAGCAGGAGCAGTGGCAGCATCAATAAATATTGTGTTAATGTTCTGGTGGCTGGAGCCAGCAAGGTGATAAAGGAAATCTATTTGATTTCTGCCGCTCGTTTGTTTGGCCCGGTGCTTCTCCAGTTGGTGTGCAAATGTGTGTGTTCATATTTTGTTTCATTATATAGTGTGTGTGTTTTGGCTCAGGGCTCCGAGTTTTATCTGTAATTTTATAAACTTCCCTTGATATCAAATTATTCCTTCCACTCCTTCACTCGTCCTTCCTCTCTTTCTTTCATCCTCTGTCCTTATCTCCCAAATTCCTCCCTGTTGTTGGTGAATGGTCTCCCTCATTTAAAGAGGAAGAATCTCTGTTAGTCCGTGTGTGAATGGAAAATAACCTGCAGTAATAGAGCATCTTTCAGGATTTCTAGGCTCAGCCTCCAAAATAATTTGGAGTTCAGTATCCAGCCAAAGGACACTTTGACATGCTGACAGGAAGGATGGGGACGGAAAGGATGTCCAACAAATAGTTGGCGAGTTATTCCTCTTGAGCCTCCAAAACGGAGTGTATGTCACAGTTGGTGGCTCTTTTTTAAAAACTCCAAAAATGAGCTGGGCGATTAATCAGATTTTAATTTCAATTACCATTTGGACCCCCATGAAATATGATCATTGAGATTATGGTGCCGCCTGCTGTGTTGCTTCCATTACATCCTATACTTTGAATGAAGTGCCCCCTCCCTGCTTCTCTAGTTATACCAAGCGAGATCTCGACCAGCCCATTACGGACTGCAGCGGGGTGACGCAGCTCAAGGAAGAACATTTATAATCAGTACTTCATCATCATCAGTACATATAGGGTCCCAGCCATAGTACTAGCCATTAAACATCTTTTTAGCTTTGCCTAGTTCTTTGGCAAAGAGACCAAACACAACTCACTCGCTCTCTTCCAGCAGCCACTTGTTTGTACGGAGACCTCCGGGGAAGTCCATCAACTGCTGTGGGGTGACGCAGCTCAAGGAAGAACATTTATGATTATTACTTTATCATTTCCTTTAAGTAATAATCATCATATTAATCATTTTGCACTACAGACATGGTAGTTTTTCTGACTTAGCGTCTCGGTCTGATTGCATTTCCATGAAGAAATGATCCTAAATGTTCTTCCTTGAGCTGCGACACCCCGCTACAGTCCGTAATGGACTGATTGAGGTCTCGCTACAAACAAGCAGCTGCTGGAAGAGAGTGGGTGAGTTGTGTTAAGTCTTT